TATTAAGTCCAATTTGGTCTGAGCCCGAGGTGGGCTTAATAACCGGCGACTACTGCACATCGTATCAGTCAATTTATTAATGCTGCCACTGACATATACAGCATGATCCCTGTCTATTGCGAAATTCTATGAGAGGTATGCAGTCCCTTCCTCAAATCGTAGGCAAGAACGTACTTTTCCTTAAATAGGATGAACACAATATTTAGTTTGTAAAACTTGAATTCAGGTGTAGCAGTCGGTAGGTTTCTAAATCATTCGTAATTTAGAAACATTTTTAAAACCGAAAAAAACTCTTCCTTTAAGAATAAATTTTGAAAAAGGAGTAAATTTTTATCAACTAAGTACAAGAGATTATTTTTTCGTGCATCCTTCCATAAAATATATTTGAATTTATAAAGGCAGTAAAAATCAATGATAAAAATGCATACTATTTAAGTAGCCATCTTTTACAGAACCTTTTTCGCTGCGGTCAGAAAGAAGTTCATCACAGCGTCAACATCCTAGCGTGAGTGAAAATAATTGAAATTGGACTGCATGATAAACAGTATCGCAACCCAACTCAATGTTGGTTAACGAGTACTTACCGGTCTTTTTTCAAATTGCGGAATGTTGCTTGCAGCACTTGCCATACTGTATATGTGTCAGGTCGCTTCAGTCGTCCAAATAGCTGCTCTTGGTACCCAAGACTCATCTGCGGCCCAGAACCGCTGCCATTTGCGGGTAAATTGATCCAAGTAGGATACAAATCACGGCTCCCGCTGGGGCTTCGTAACTCAGTTGGCTGTAACGGTGGCTATACTAAAACCTTTCCCTTGCTGACGGGGGGAGTTCGGATCCCTCCACGGCCGCCGAGGTCTTCACATCTGGATCACGTAAATCATTTAAATCAGTCACAGCCTCCCATTAACTAATTTCAGTGGTCAAATGTGATCTAAACCAGATGAAGGAACCAGTTTCTTGCGGCACGCCCGAGTAGACATACGCTTCGGTGGCCATTTTCAGTTGAAGTCTGGCCCCGCGCGAGACGCAGAGATTGTCTTGACAAGATCCTCAGTGGTGGAATCACCGAGAACACAAGCACAGGTCCTTCTACTCTACTCGATCATACCCTTGTATTGCTGTAGACGCCGGTGACAGTTATCCATCGGAACTCTTGTAATCTGCCCGAAAAATCGCTTTGTAAACCCTCTGCCCATGGGTGTGTCACCGGGAACCTTATATCTTATGCATCGGGATGTCAGTCCGTATTGGATGCGTTGGTGAAAAAAAAGTAGTTGCTTTTACTAGTACCGATTTATAAGCTATAGCATTACCAGTTAAGAACATGGCTTATTACTTGATCTATCAGAACTAAACGCACTATTCCTACTTTTTTTCCGGTAGTCTACTGTGGAAAAAAGCTCAGACGCTGGCAAGTCACCCATTTTCACGAAGCACAAAACAGCATTCAAACGGCGACATGCGGGTGGGAAGGCCAAAGTTCCGCTTGATCGGGCTAGTAAGGTTATGACGGGCCAGGCACAGGCTGAGGCAGACGAAACGGAAACGCCTGTTGAAGAAGCTGCCGCCGAACATGAGGAAGAGGATGAAATGTCCATAAAAGAATTGTCGCTAGAACTCAACACGGAGAGCTTCTCGGAGGAATCAACGCACGCAGAAGGTTCAACTACAGCCCGCTTGTCCAGCACCGAAACCTCGAAAAGAGCCAGCGCGCCGGGAACCCCGGGCAGACCAAGAAGTAAGTTCTTTCATCATTTGCCTTTCTATATTCCTTCGCAAGAAGCTGATCAGCTCAGAATAATGTGTGTTATCAGGCCATTTTGGAGAGGAAAATCGGGGGCTAGGACTAATATTTTTCTTTCGGCACAGGTGATATAAGCTAGGTACTTTTTTTAGACTGAATGCCGCATTCGAGACGCAAATGTAAAATCCTGCCTCTGCATAATTGCAATTGCTACAGTTAATAACAAAATAGCCAATCTATGCTGGAAACGGCTTAATGGGGGGGGAGGCGGTAAATTTGTAACAATTTTGTTGCCTCGGGTTTTGTACCGAGAAAGGCAGTATTTTTAAAGATGGCCATTGGCAGTGTTCAAATAATTTTGAGGTAGCTCCTACATGAAGTAATGCTGGAACGAGATCCGTGATTGGCCACTCGAGCTAAAGCACAACAGCCGGGCACAGAAAAATGAACCTCCCACTCCCCCCACCCGAAATCAAGTGACCGTGCATTAAATCTCAAAATGGTTAACTTTATTTTGTAGGCTAGCCAAAATTTCATATTAACCCCAGACATAGCCTCAATCCTAACCCCCCGAGCTCACCTCTATCCCCACCAGAAGAGGAAGATACGATCATTGAAGCATGACGGTGAATGGACAGACGTTTCAGATTCTTAGAGACGGTCGCAGACAAGGGCGGGATCCAGCTGCTGCGCAACTCCAATTTTTCTTTAAAACTGCCTTCCAGGACTCACTCTTTGGCCTCGACCTAGTCCATTCATAGCCGCAAATCTAACTTCAACCCTAGGATTAAACCGAATACTAGCTGTAAGCGAAACCTCCCGGAATTTAGGTCAAAATCGCCCGTATTGTGAGGTGTTCCCATTCCCGCGTCCAACCCACCTATAGCTTATTTTGACCATGTTTTTCGAGATATGAACAGGTTATGGCTGTTGTGAGTGCTTCATCCACTTTAATACATTTCTGCACAAGAGGGATATGAGGTCCATAGGTTCTACCCCAACTAATAAAAATTCATTAGATAACAGTGGGTAACTGTATACCGATCCGTTTCAGAATGTGCCCATCCTTGTTGATGCCTTGTCGTATGGGCCCAATCGTATGTGTTCAAAGCGAAATAGGTATGTTACTCGCAAGCTTTTAGTAACAATGGTATTATACCGACAAACACAGAGCACACCATTAAGGCCCTTTAATCCTTATTGGGCGTCGTCAGGTGGTGGTAGTCCAACTCCAGTATAGTAACGGAAGTTGCCGCCACACCCGTGTTTCGAACTCACATCTCTCCGTCTCTGGGTACATCCTGAAACAGATCGGTGTACAGTTACCCACCACTATATAGTCCCGATCACAAACCGACAACACGGCGGACCGGTGGCTCAAAGGTTAGAGCTTTCGCCTCTGGCCGGAGAGACGCGAGTTCGAAAATCGGGTGTGGCGGCAATTTCTGTTGCTATACTGGAGTTGGGCTACCACCACCTGATGACGCCCAATGAGACAGAAAAGGCCGTACTGGTGTGCATTGTGTTTGTCGGTTTAATACTATTGTTATATTAGATAATTTTCTACTGAGAGTTGAAGGATACTAATGAGCACTAACATTACGATATTCGACGACAAGATGCTTAGTACATGTATATTGCAGTGTCTTCTATTAATTCTAAAAATCCTTGCCACTGCAATCTTCCTGACCAGTTCCTAGAGAGCACACGTTTGTTACCTACGATTCTTTAAAATCAGGAAATACCCAGAAGTTCCAAGTTAATACACAGGAATACGGTTCTCAGGTAACAACAGTGAGCATGAGAAAAACTCCAGTAAGAGCAAATTTTATCGAATCATTACCCTACATCGAAACTTAACTCTAATTCAAACGTTGCTACTAACTCTTAGCCTGAACACGAAGTTTATGTTGACCCTGATCTCTCTGGAAATTAGCAGGAGGCCTCGGAATAGGAGATGGGTTTATCGCAGGGGATTAAGTAAGTTAAACTCTGGCAACTGCGATCTCCAGACCATGGTCCCCCAGGAGAGAAGAAGTCAGTGAAGGCCAGAATAGTAGGAATAGTTAATTCAGAGGAATGGTGAATGAGCAGGAA